GTATATGTATATGTATATGTATATGTATATGTATATGTATATGTATATATAATATAGTACATATATTAGATGAGAGACTGGATCAATATAGATGACTAGGGCAATGTCCCTATCTCAGAATCCGTATCCTGAGCCTCATCTTCTAATACTCTTTTGCAGGTGCCGTATTCTTAGGCCCCAGAGATTCGGGTGTGGACACCCTCAATACGACCTGTTCAGTTTATATATGCTTGCTTGTATGTGTGTTTCAGGGCTGACCATTGGTATTGAATTACCAATTGGGTGACTCCTCCCCAACTCTCAGCATTCCTTACTTGCCTGTAGTTCTTTATATAGGATCTAAGGCTCGCACTCTTCTCCCTGTCCACATTAGCATGTCTACTAGTGTTGTCTTTGCTCAGCCATGTTTACACAGCCATGTTGGTGAGACTTTCTGGGTATAGCTTCTGAATTTACTAAGATCCAGATTCTCACAGCAAACTTCCTGATTCTTTGGCTCTTAAGAGTCTTTCTGCCCCCTCTCCTTCAGTGTTCCCTGAGCTTTAGGTCGGGTGTATCTATTGGAACTGGGCTCTACCGCTCTGCATTTTGGTTAGTTGTAGTTTTCTGTAATGATCTTTCTCTGTTGCAGCAGCAGTTTTCCTTGATGAGGGATGAGGACCACGCTTACCTTTGAGTATAAGGGCACAAACATTTAGAATGTAGTTAGGATTTATGCTGGTTTAGTAAAGTGATATTCATAAGTTCTCTTCCAAGATCCATTACTTAACCAATTCTGGGTTAGGTTTCAAGTATCAGGCGTGATATCCCTCTTGTCAAGCAGATCTTAAAGTCCAATTACTGACCCGTTGGTGACTGCAGAGGTATGTGTGCAGTGACTGCATGCTTAGAGTTATGGTGTTGTGCTCATCACTGCTATGGCTCATAGGTGTCATGGCCAGGTTAGATTGTTGGTTGTTTTCCTCCTTTAGAGCTTTCATGGTGCCTTTCATGGTGCCTCAGGGCTCTCTGGGCCCTGTGTCCGAAATGCATGCTATCTTCATCAATATAGATTTACCTTCCACCTCTGGGTAAGCCTTATTTTTGATACTTAATGACATGTGAAGCATAAATGAACCAGTGACTAACAGAACAATTGATGGCATTTGTAAAAGACCTTTAAGATTCAATAATGCAAGACTCCACTGCGTTTTCTAACATCAACGCAGAAACGGTATCAGCCAGCAAAATGTACCTTCCTTCTCGGTTTTCTCTTCTTGACCACACAGAACTCTCCTTTCCATGTGGCTGCTCTGTATTCTCCACTTCGTCTTTCCTTTAGACTCTTGTAGTCATGGCCTGGGACTGAAGCACAGTGGTAGAGAACTTGCTGGGTTTCATCTCAAACATGCAAGACAATCAGTCAGTTTGTCAGTCAATCTGTCTGGAAGTGACAACTATGTGTGTGATGGAGTCTATTTTATCACTGGGCTGTGCCTTTAATTTTTAATTATAACATCACAGGTCTGTGCTTTAGTTTAAAACCAAAGGAGTTGTGAGAAACATCTTTGCATCAGAGGTTTCCAAGGTAGTTCTGGCATCCTATTCCATACTCATTGCTGCCTACACTAGTGCCTCTGGTACCCCTCCCCGTGGGGATGTGACATTTGTCAGAGCATTCCAAGCACATTCTCCAGCCTCATATTAGAAACCCGCTTCTTCCAGCCTGGCCTACTTTGCTCTGTGATATTAGAATGTGGATAAGCATAGAGGTAGGAGCGTGCTGATGGGGTCATTACGGAGGAGCTGATCCTTCTCCACGAGCTATCCATTTTGCAGTGGGAATGTTATGATGTGAGTCACAATTGGATTTCAAAACCACATGTTTGTCACTCCATATCCAGGGGAGACGGAGATTAATATTTCAAAATTCCTGAGATGCTCTGTGTATCTGCCTTGTTAAAATACATAATCTCTGAAGCCTGGGAGATAATGCCTTGAAGTTGAAACTATGATTATTTATTTGCCTTGACTCCAGCATCATTTATGCAGCAAAAGATGAGAAGAGACTGACACTGCTCAACAACCCCACTAAAAACACAGTTAATATAGATTTAAACCGACAGCTGCTCGTTTGCTGGTTCCCCTGCTTATTGCAGACACATAGGGGTTTACCAGCTGTGCAGGGGCTCTGTGCACAGTACAATAAGACAAATATGAGTGGGCGCATTTAGATTGTAGCTTAATCTCCTGAAATATTGCTATGATCAATTACTGTAGCACCATGGTACACAAATGTCCTCTTTAAATCAAAATGACCCGCCCACTTGTGAATACCAGTTCAGTGCTTTGCTTCAGGGGAAAATCTGTGGGAAGGAAATTAATGCATAGAGAAATACTTTGTAATCAGAATATTAACATTTTGATTGAATTGATGGAACATTTAAATGGAAATATTCACTTGTCGAGACCAAGCTTCGGAGGGATGATGTATCACACATGTGGTATCTGAACCTTTTCCCTTGATTAGAGAGCATTATTTTTTTAATAGATGAAAAAGTAACAGACTTAAAGATGTCATGTTAGGTATGGCAGGGTGAGCAGTGTTCATTTTCCCATATATGCATATTGGCAGCTATAAAGACCAAGGCTTGGTTCTACTGATGACTGATAGACTGCATAACAGTTTGCATCAAACCCTAAGCATGGACAACAGAGCAGAAAAGAAAGGCCATGGGATGTGGTGTGGTATCAGCTATGGACGATATAGCCAGATTCATCCCCAGTGTCCGTGTGACCATAGCTAAGTCACTTTATATTCTGGGCTCAAGTTTTCATATTAGTCAAATAAAAGCAATGCTACTTACTTATAAGAATTCCCCTGAGAGGATAAAGATGGTACAGAGGTTGAGTCTTACTGGTTCTCCCTACCCCACCCCCCAAAGGACTTGAATTAGATTCAACTCACCTGCTTTTGCCAGCTTATAACCACCTGTAACTTTAGTTCCAGGAAGATCTTATGGCTTCTGAGGGGCATCTGCACTCACATACACATACCCACGCTCACACATAGTCTTAAAAATCTTTTAAAAACGTAAGGAAATTTACCAGAGAGGACAAGGAAGATGGCTCAGTGAGAACTGGAGTCTTGATCCCCACTATTGGCATATAAAAGGCTGAATGGGCACGACGGTCCACCTGTAATCCTGTGATTAGGAGGCAGAGCAGACCAGAGACTGAGGATCCTCACAGTGGCTGAATTACTCTTGCTCAGTAAATAAAATGAAGAGCAATCTAGGATGTGTGATGGCTGCCATATACAGGCATACAAGTGTGCATGTACACCTGCACATGGCCAGCTCAAATGCATACAAATACACAGGACACACACACACACACACACACACACACACACACACACACACACACACATGCAAGCATGCATGCACACACCATTGTAAAAACAATAACTTGGTTATGATACAGATTGAATGACTTACTATCTTCACTTTCCACTAGAAAAGTAAACTCTTTAGAAAAACTTTTTGTTGGTTATTTGTGAATTTCACATCATGCACCCCAACTGCACTCATCTTCTCATCCCCTTGAACCTGCCCCCACCCTTGCAACCTCTCCCTGCAACAGAGGAATGAAAGATAATTCACTGTTGAAGGTGGAAACTGTACTGTGTCGCAGTCTTGTTGACAATTCTTTGCTTGCAAGTGTTCATTGCAATGACTTGTTGGTTTGGTATAAGGCCTCTGGCTTCTGCTACTCTATAAATACTGGAACTTCACTGGGAATCCGCTCAAACATCCTCTTGTCCTGTGTCATGAAGATCCTGTAGTTTTGGATCTGTAGGACTAGCCCCCCAATGCACTCCAGCAGTTCATGAATGGGGTGGATATTGGGGTGGGCCAATTCAAAGCTCCGGGTCTGAACCTGAGAGGTATCTGAGCTGGCCAACCCACTGCTCTTCTGCTCTTATGCCCTCAGGACCAGCTCACCTGCAGTCCCCACATCCAGAAAAGGTGCAGGGCCTGCTCTTCCACGAGCAGACAAATGATGGGGCCAGCTCTCCCGTGCTCGTGCCCTTAAGGCCAGTTCGCCAGTACCACAGGCAATAACATCATCTCTAGTGTGATGCCCAGGCACAGTGCAGTGCCTACTTTCTGGAGGGCTGCAGTTGGTAAGGAGTGGGGGTCAGCTCTCCTGATCTCATGACCACAGGGCCACGTCTCCTGCCTTCTGCAGGAGGGTGGTGAGGGGAGAGCAGGGAGGAGGAGGGTATTTCTCCCTTGCCCACACCACCACACAGGAGACAAATGATAGAGCTAGCTCTCCCATGCTTCTGTCCTTGGACTTGGCTCTCCTGCAACTCCTGCAATGCGCAGGGTGGCTCTATTGAGTACTGTAGCTGACTTTAGTGTTCCTCCTCTCATGCTCACAGAATCAGCTCTTCCAGGATGCCTAGGTGAGGGGTAGAGTCAGTTCTGCACAGCCCACAGATATCAGCATACCCCAGGGCAGTATCCCAGACTAGGGACATCTACATAGCCTTTTGTGGTAATATAACCATGTTACTGCAGCGTCACAGACTCAGATGTGGTCCCTAGTAACAGCACAAGACAGGACCCCACCATGGTCTGAGGTAACATCACCAGCTATTCACATCAGCAAACTATTCCTCTCCTTGCTACCCCCAAGTCTCCAGTTCTGCCTGTCTTCATTGTGTCTTTCTTTCATCCTTCTGTTTTTCTTCCTCCTCAATTGCCCCACCACCTAATCCTCTTACTAGTTCCTGGGAACTCTGAGTGTTTGGGATTGTCTCAAGAGTGATCCAAGGAGTCCTATGCAGAGCTCATGCTTTATGGCACAAGGCAATTGTCATCTCAGGGATGGTCTGCTCCCCAACCCCATACAGTACACCTCTGCACTGGGGGCCGTCTCAGGATAGCTCCTTGTCTGGGCCCGTGGTGCCTGACTGAGATGTGGTCATCTCAGGCTCTCTTTTTCCAGGGAATGTTAGGTTAATAATTATTCAGATATTCATAGGTCAGAACACTAACCTTAGACATAGCCTCTCTCCTCTCTGTCACCTACTGATGCCCATGTGACACAGCAGCCAAACCTACAAGGCCTCTAGGGTCAGAAGAAGTAAATTATTGATATTTGAAATCAGAGATGATGAGCTGCTCAGTGAGCACATAGTGAGCTTGTAGGTTTTCCTTAAAGGATTTTGTCCCATGACTTAACTATAATGAGTGTCAGAGTATATCCCCCAAACAAAGATTTTCTTTGTGAGGAGACAATGTTTGTGTTTATGTTTGTGATGGTGGACTATGAACATACAGGAAGACAAAATAGGACAAAAAGTGTAACTCCAGCATGTGGATGATGATGTGAGTTGATTTGAAACAGTTATCCTTGGTTGTAAGGACCGATAGCATGGTGCTTTCCTTCTGTGATTTTAATAGTCTTTTGTGATAAGATGGATACAGATGTCCCCTCTGTCTATGTCCCCTATGATCTTGGCCTCTTGGCCACTTTTGTTAGGATCCGCCATTTTGATTTGATGATGGGTTCTTTCATAGACTGATCTGCCACACTGTCTACAGTAGGGGAAGCATCTGGATTTCCTTTGAGAAACAGATTTTGAGCAAAGATCTGCCTGATTCAGCCGATATTCTGATATTTCTCTCAATCCATTTGAAGATCAAACTTTTAAAAATGGATTTATCCTAAAGGGAATGCCTAGGTCACTTTTGTTTCTTTGGGGAATGAAAGGTCTGCCTTTGATACATGATCAGAAGTGTGACTATTTCTTTACCAAAAGAAATATCCGGGCTGGAGAGATGGCTCAGTGGTTAAGAATACTGACTGCTCATCTAGAGGTCCTGAGTTCAATTCCCAGCAACCACATGGTGGCTCACAATCATCTGTAATGGGATCGGATACTCTCTTCTGGTGTGTCTGAAGAGAGCAAAGGTGTACTCATATACATAAAATAAATAAATAAATCTTTTTTTTTCTTTTTTAAAAAAGCCCACATGGCTATTGATTCATTTGCTTAGGAATCAAAAGATTTTAGATTATTTAAAAGTTTGAATGTTTAAACATTCAAACCCCAGGTTTATGACCTGGGGTCATGAGATCTGGGTTCATTGAGAAATCCTGACTCAGTATTATAAAGTGCAAAACAATGACTAGTAGGACTTTCCTGCTGGTGATGGGGAAAGAACGAGGGTGACTAGGACTGGAGAATCCTATAGCATCATTTCACAAATGAAGAAACTGGTGTGGAAGGGAGGGGGGTAAGAGCAGCTGAGGATGATCTGAGAAATATGCCCGTGGATTTGACCCAACACTCATCTAAACTATAACCTGGTAGTTACGTCCACTTCCAAAGCATGCACTGTGATTTCTCCTCTGCTTGAATAACCTTCCAAGTCTGTGCTGCCCAGACCCCCTTCCATCGTCCATTCCCAGCCAGACTTTGTATTGAGAGACTCTCTGCATATGTCAGACAAGCTAGGGAGTATGTATCCAGGGGAAGGGAACACTAACTCAGTGTCTCATACTCATAGCTCAGTGTTTCTCCTGTTCACCTCTTCTTCTGCATCAAAGATAGTGTTGCTGATGTACTGTGAACTGAAGAATAGTGCACCCCAATGCTCAGGTGCCTACTATCATGGAGTCATGGGGAGGAAGGACACACATTCTAAGCTTATAGAGAATTGTACCAATTTCTCAGTCACAGAGGGTTGGAATGTCACTCTTTTAAAATAACAGGGGAGAGCAGCAGGGTATGGGGAAGGTTCCTGAACCTCATTCATGTGTGTTGCCAAAGGGTCTGGGAAGCCCAGGAGTCTTGGCATTGGGGTGAGTAGGTTTGACAGCAAAGGCAGAAAGAGTCTCCGGGAAGGAGCTGCCTAATTAATCACAGGCTATCAGAGCCCTTCAGCAGGAGGACTCTCAGAGGTCCTAATGACCCCCCTCAGCAATGTTAAAACCCAGCTTGGTATGACTTCATTTTCTTAGAGACACATGATTGATCTGGCTATTGGTGAATGGAGACACCGAGGCTTCCTTCCATAGACGGTGTCATTAAACAGCAAGATTAAGTGCCTTTGAGCAAAGGCTCTGAGAAGACGGAGTGATTCACTGGGAATGGAGGAAAGATAAAGAAAACTCTGAAATATGGATTTTTTAAAGGCGATACCTTAGACTTTACCTCATTTATTAACATCATAAAAGGCTTAGTGGAGAGTCCGAGCTAAGAGAAATGGTTCCTTCTGTTTGACTCTTTAGGGATATGGAACAGAACAGCCAACTGAGTCTGCTGTCCCTGAGGGATGGCTTGTTTCAAACTGATAAGCTTATTTTGTGTCCCTTTAAGCTTCTCAAGTATCTGGCAAGAGCTGGGGTCTTTTTTTAAATTAGGAAACCAGCTTGGGCCAACTCACCTATTTCCTCTCTAAGGGCCCTAGAAGTAGGCTTATCAAAGGGTTCTCTTTGAATAGATCCATTCCACTGCACAGTACAGAGGAGGCTGGACTCTCTACTTGTATGCTTCTATGTTTCTTATGGCTTTACTCTTGTGGCTAGTTACCAAGCTCTGAACTGAATGAATGAAGGCCTAAAACCCACCCTTCCTGTTGAACTGGACAAATGTGACATGGACTAGTGCACATGAGTTAACTGGAACAGTTATTAAAGCCAGTTATTAAGATTCAAATGTTCATAGACTTGAATACAGGATCCAGTGGTCCAGAGAATCAGGCATGGATGAGGCATTGTAGGAAACAGAGAGAGATAGAGTCTGTGTTAACAGAAGCGCTTGTATCTCCTTTAAAGTCTTTCAATGTCAGAATCTTCAATATCCTTTGGCAGGACAAATAAAACATGTTTTAAGGAGGATGTAGCCCAGGAGTTTCACAATTTGTCGTCTTGTAAGTGTGCTAGACCCTTAGAAAGGTTTAGTGCTTAACATATACTTTTGATATCCCACTCATTCCTCATGCCACGTTCAGTGTCAGAGGAGTGCCTCCATTTGAGTTACTCTGGATGGCACAAAAAGAAAACTAAGATCTAAGTAGTGACCTGACACAATCCGGCGTCTAGGATTTATGATGCAAAGATCCACATGTTCTCTGAGACCTTCAAACCTAGTGAATTCAGGGAGAAGGCAGAGTGGTGAAATTTAAATGGTAAAGGAAGAGAAAGCAGCCAGCACACCACAGCAAACTACGGAAGGCTTTGAGACAGGTGCATGAGGATTCCAAATTAAAGGGAGGTCAGGCAATGAGGTTTTGGTGCATGAGGTGCCTGCAAAAATTTGGTCTTAGAGAAGAAGGGATGAGGTCCTGTTGTGTACAGACATGAGATGACCTTCCTATGGGGTGGATGTTTATTCCACATCCCAGAACACTTGGTAGAAGGGGAGGGGTGGCATTTCCAAAGTAAGTTTTCGAGTTCCCCTGGGTAACTGGGCATAAAAGTGTAGTTCTCCTTAGTCTGATCCCACATAGTTCCCTCAATTTACTCTACTTTATGTCCCTCCAAGGACGCTTGTCTCCAGCCTTGTTACTCTGAGGCTGCATCTTTTGTTTTTTATGATTTTGTATTGTTTCATATATAGTTGCCTCTGCTGCATTGAAACTAGTAGGGGTCAGATGACCTGGAAGTAAACTCCCACTTGAGTGATTTGATAGAGTTCCTGAGAATACAAATGTCAGGCAACATAGAGATGCAACTATGGGCAGAGAGTGTAGTCTGATCTTTGCCATCAAATCAGGCTGGTCCAAAGGATGCTGCACTGCTTTCAGCCATTCTGAGGACCTTGTCTCATGGACCCCTCAAGAATGCTCCTGGCCATAGCCAAATAGAACACTGCCTCTTGTGTCAACACTTTCCCTTGTCTGGGCATCTTAGAATTATAAGACTTGCCTTTATCAGGTTCCTGTCAACAGAGATCAGGGCAGTAGGGTACAGTTTGTACTGTCAGAGCTCACACACTGTGTCTCAAGTGGCTGGGAAGCACTTTAAATGTGTTCAGAGTGTTCTTGCATATCCCAGAGACCCTGCTGGCAGGAGGTCTCTGCAGCAACATGGTCTTAAGAACTCAGCAGGACTTTAAAAGCCTATCTTTATGTGCTTCAGTTTTGATAGGATTGGAGCCCATTCTTAGACATTATCTTTTCAAATACTTTACAGGATGTGAAGGCATAGAACATAAAAGTTAACCCGCAAATATAGACTGAATCATCAACAAACTATTTCTGTATTTATTTCTTCTTCTCTCCACATATGCCATGGGTTTTATGGGATGTGCATGAATAAAGCAGATGGCTGTAGCCAATAGTGAAACATGCACATGATGAACAGCTCACTTCCTGGAAAAGGTTTGGCTGTATTACATGAACATTTTGGTTTTCCATTCTTTCCTCAATGAAGTGTTTTCTTAGGTCACATGATCTATCGCTAGATAACAAAGACCCCACTGTCAAACAGAGTAATGGGAGGGGAGAGATGGAGCAGTTACATATGTTCTCTATGACAGCTGGGTTATGTGTAAGGCTCATCATCCTTTCTAGGAAGCACAGACTAGCCAGGCCTCCTCCTCCACAGATTTGAAAGCCAAGGGACTTGAATGATCAGGTAATAGATACACAGTTGATTCACAGCTGCAAGAAGGCTAGACTGTGTATCTGTGGGCTTTAAGTACAGCTTTAATTTTTTAAATTTTTAAAGTTTTTCTATTAATAAGGCTAGCCTGTATTTTGGTTTTATATAGTGGAACAAAGGCAGAGACTTTTGTTTTGATGAATTATGATACTTAATAACTGGGAATCCCCATATGAAGGCATCTAAGTCTATTTGAATCCTTTTACTCACGGCAGAAATTCTAAAATCTTATTAGGTGGGATTCTTTATTATCCTACTCCTGAAAATGCACTGGTAATATCTTTACCACAAGGATAAGGATGAGTTACTTGTTTCTATGGGTATGTATATAATACAAATTCTATACATATAAATTCTATATAATAAATTATTTTACAACATTGTTAATGGTAATATAATAACATAGAAAGACTATATAATCATATAATTATGTGTATGTATGTACACTCAGAGTGACTTCAAATCC